CCAGTCAGATTATATGTCAACCTTTGTGGTCAGTGAGTGACAGAAGTATTAGTAATAGTAGTACTAACCTTTCATTTGCTCTCATCTGAGATATGTGTTACTCCCTCGTAAGACTTAATATTTCAAGTGTAACAAAAGATCTAGCCACCGTTTGGGTGGGGAAAGACTAAGAGGCAATTATCTGAGATTCCAGGTCCTTCTTAAACATTGGATTACCCTGGCAAGGGGAAGACTGAACAAGGATAGGATATATAGGATATTTTTCCTTGCCAACAACTTTTAAGTTGGAAAAGAAGAGTCAGGACAGGTATAGACATTTATAAGAGATTCAGGGGCAACAAAAATTTCAATATAACTTCTTGTACCACAAATGAGCGTTCAAACTGCAAGAGATTTTATTCAGTGCAAGACAGAAAGGACCAGTAAAAGGACAGTACTCAAATCCAGGAAAATAGTTGGTCCGACGGTTGTGGGTTATTGTTAAAAAAAAAAAAAATCCAGGAAATATATAGGACTTCAGCCTCCATTACCCAGCATCAATTTCTGGATGAAGAGACATAAATAGAAATGCAATAGAGGAATACAAGAATAGACTAGGAATGCAGCCAAGAGGAAGAGGACCTGACTTAATGAAGAACTTTACCAGTAGCTTGTACTTTACGCAAGGAAATAAAGAGTTAGTCCCCACAGAGATTTTGGCAATCAGTATTTTGTCAAACACAGGGGTTCAGTTTTGAAAATGTAAAGAATATTCTACAATATGGGCACAATCTGAATAGAAAACATGATGCAAAAATTTAATACTCTTTATATGTGTTTTCAGCATATATAAGATTTTAAAAATATTTATTTATAAATATATAAATGTAATGCTAGTTCTTCTGAAAACATTTTGAAGAACATTGCAAAAATGCTAGAATCACTTCTAAATTAAAAATTCTAAACTTGGTATGAATTTGGAATTTGAACAGTTATAAGTACCTTGGTGAGAGACTGGATGTTGACAGAAATGTAAAGATATGTGTTGAAGTGGAAACAATACTGGGAATAAACATTTGCGATTTAAAGATTTCCTTCCAAAGAGTCCAGTGGGCAAGTCAGTATAATGTAGAAGTGTACATGGTAACTTTATGCTAATGTTTGCAGTTTCTTATGTATAGTAGGTAAACCTGAAATTGGCAAAATGGAAATCTAAAGACATTTTTCACAAAATTCAGTATTTTTATTTTTATATAAGTCAACTTCATCTTTTTAGCATAGATGACATGACTCAACCAGGCTGACATAACTGTCTTCATATCATACATGTAGGAGTCACAGGTAGTTTCTAATTATGCTTCCTACTTCATTTTTCGCAAATTCTATCTAATTGCTATGCGGAGGTTCTGAGAGATTTTGACTAAGTGCTCTATACCAAAACAAAACTTGTTTTGAAAAGTATAGAAAGAGTAAACTCTCCATGGACCCGGGAAAAAAGAAATGAAAAATAAATTCACTTTGCAGGGAGAATGGAGAGGCCATACAGGAACGCACAGGAAGGACTTCCCACCCCACTTCATGTGCAGGATGTCGGCACTTTTCATGTCTCAACTGGTCATTCCACCATTCAGTCAATTTGCATATTAGGTTTTTATTATATAGGACTAGAAGCCCGGTGCACAGCCTGTGCCCTCTTGCAGTCTGGGACCCCGCGGGGGATGACCACTTGCTGGCTTAGGCCTGCTCCCCAAGGGATTGGGCCTAAGATGGCAATCAGACATCCCTGTGGCAGCCCGGCAGCCCTCGAGGGATGTCCACTTGCCAGAGGGGAGCAGACCTAAGCTGCATTCAGACATCCTTAGCGCTGCTGAGGAGGCAGGAGAGGCTCCCACCACCACAGCTGTACTGGCAGCCATCAGCCTGGCTTGTGGCTGAGCAGAGCTCCCCCATGTGGGAGCGCACTGACCACCAGAGGGCAGCTCCTGCATTGAGCGTCTGCCCCCTGGTGGTCAGTGTGTGTCATAGTGACCAGTCATTCCCAGTCTTTCTGCTGTTAGGGTCAGTTTGCATATTACCCTTTTACTATATAGGATAGAGGCCTGGTGCAAGGTGGGGGGCAGCTGGTTTGCCTTGAAGGGTGTCCCGGATCAGTGTGGGGGTCCTGCTTGGGTGCCTGGCCAGCCTGGGTGAGGGGCTGATGGCTGTTTGCAGCTGGTCACACCCCCTTCAGGGTGGGCGTCCCCACTGGGGTACCTGGCCAGCCTGGATGAGGGGCTAATGGCTGTTTTCAGGCTGGCCACACCCCCTTTAGGGAGCGGGTCCCCACTGGGGTGCCTAGCCAGTCTGGGTGAGGGGCTGAGGGCCGTTTTCAGGCTGGCGGGCGACTGAAGCTCCCAGCATCTTCTTTTTTTTCTTTTTCTTTTTATTCTGGGATTTATTTACCTTCTATAATTGAAACATTGTTGCCATCACTGGAACCCCCAACTCTGAGGCCACGGCCGGCTGAAAGCAGGTATCTGGGGTTTGTTTAGCTTCTATAATTGAAACATTGTTGCTTCCGGAGCTCAGAGCCAGGCCGTGGCAGGTGGGGAACCTTGGCTTCCTCCATCACTGGAGCAAGCAAGCCTCATGTTTGCTTCAGCTGCGTGGCTGCTGGCCGCCATCTTTGTTGGCAGTTAATTTGCATATCGCCCTGATTAGCCAATGGGAAGCGTAGCGGAGGTACGGTTAATTACCCTTTTTGTCTTTTCTTAGATAGGATTATTGTGTTATTTATTTAAATTACAACTGTAAATCTACTTTTTCCCACCTCTGAATATTAGTCTTGTTGTTCACATTTTGGAGCCAAATGAACTCTCAAAAGGGTCTTTATTTTAGTCAGGCACCTGATAATTGCATTATTCTAATATAGTCCAACTGAAACAAAGTATTTGGAATAAGAATTGAGAAAGCACTCAATAAAAATCCTGTGCACTTCTATATCAGTGCCAAAGTGAGGGTTTAACCTGTGTTGTTATATAACTTAATCCATGTTATTGTGGGCATAGCAGATATGTTATTTAGGATATTGTTGGACTGAAATTGAGAAAGGTACCCTAGAGTAAATTTCTATTTGGCTTATTTCAAATCTTGTGAAAATAGTAAAAATAATCAAGATGTATTTTGTTTGAAATTTTAAGTCTTATTTCAGATTCAGCTTGGATAATTAGCAGATGCTCTCGTTTTGTAGGAATTTTTAAATTATTTTACTAGTTTGTAATAGGAAAAGCATGTACAAGGTACAGAAAGTGTGTTTTTGAAGTACAGAAGGATATACAGTGAAAAGTTTCTCCTCTAAGCCCTGTTCTCCAGCCACACATTTACCCTCCAAGAGTCAAGCGCTGTTACTGAGTTTTGGTGTACCCTTGCAGAAATGCTCTATGCTTTTATGACTATATCATGTTTAGCCCTTTTTTGCTTTTTTTTTTAAACAATTGGTAACATGGTACCACCTAGTTGTATACGTTGCATTGTTTCACACAATAAATCTTAGAGATAGAATATGTACAGAGCTCAGTAGGAATATGTCTGCAACTGCCTCATTCTTTTTGGTGGTTTCTGTTTCATTGAAAACATATAATTTATTTCAATGTTTCCTCATTAATAAAGATTTAGTTCATCAATCCAGTGAAGATCCTTATACCATATGTATATTATTTTATACTGGTGTGATATATCTGTTGGATAAATTCTTATATGTGAAATAACTGGATCAAAAATAGTTGTGCTTTTTCATTTTGGTAAGATTTTTTAAAAATATGTTTTAATTGATTTTAGAGGGAGAGAGAGATAGAAACATCAGTGATGGGAGAAAATCATCAATCCACTGCCTCCTGCACCCCCACTACTGGGGATCAAACCTGCAACCTGGGCATGTACCCTGACCAGGAATCGAACTATGACCCCCTGGTTCATGGTTTGATGCTCAACCATTGAGCCACACTGGTCGGGCTGATAAGATTTTGCCAAATTACTGTACATGGAGGTGGTATTAGTTCTATTCTTACGAGGAGTTATGAGAGTGGTAATTGTAGTAATTATCAGAAAAACAAATACTCTTCATTATGTGACTACAAATGATTCCTAAACCATATTTATAGTAATATACAAGCTACCGCTTCCTTCTCTTGATTCTTTAATGTTGATGATCTGACATCTGGTATCCAATATACTATAAAACAATTATAGTAATTATCCCAGTTTTGCAACAAGGAAACTGAAGTGCAGAGATATTACATAACTTGACAGAGTTGGTAACTGACAGGATACAGACCCAACTGGTTGGGAAGCTGGAGCCTGCGACTGAACCATGAGACTATCATGTCCCTATTGTGCATTTAAATTTTTTTAATCATATACATTTCTTGACTTGGTATCCATACTCTCATTGCAAATAGTCTTTCTCTCTCGTGTTTTTTTGTACTATTTTTTACAGTTGAGACAGACTAAAATAGAAAATTTTTATTTTATTTTGCTTTTGCCCCGAGGAACACCTAGAAATTAGCACCAAGTTGATATGATCTTTTATGACAGTCCTCATATTAGAAATAAATATGTAGCAATTTTTTCATTTTAAAATTGATGAACTTTAAGTTATTTCAGAAATATGCACAAGTTCCAAAGAAACATTTATATGTTTGAATGTTAAAAAAAAAAAAATAGCTTCCTGTGGTTCTTTCAGCAAGCCGCTGAGACTCCACGTGCGCGCAAGTGGCTGCATTCTCCTGTACCTTGACGCGGGCCTAGGCGAAATATCGTGAGCATAGCTATTGCATTTGGTAGGTCTGCTCAGAAGGGGTCATGTGCAAGTCATCTTTGACTTGTTCATGGCATTTTTTTAGATGTAGTGTATGGCAGCAGTGATGTGCATCCTAAGGGAAAAAAATGTCCATTTTTATAAAAGTTTATTTTCATATTTTATACACTGTAGTTCTGTTGTGTGTTTTTGATTTAGTAACAATTTATGTGTTTTTCTGTCGCAGAGCACTGCGGCCTGTGGTGTTGAGGCTCACAGCGATGCCATCCAGCCCTGCCACATCAGAGAGGCCATTCGGCGCTACGGCCACAAGATTGGCCCCCTTTCCCCATTCACAGTACGTAATAACAGAGTTATAAAAAGTTATATTTATAATCTGAAAGAATTTTGATTTTCAAGTGGTCAAATGAAGAAGCAATGGAATTGTTGAAAGCAATTTGTGGTGACTGTAATTTTGTTGTATAAAAGTGGCATAATTCTCTTGGGAAATAAAAGTTAGTCATTTTTGTCTCTTTTTGGAAGGACAATTTTTTTCTACAAAATATTATTTTCTTTCAATCACAAATTATGCTTTTTTCGTTGGAGCTTATATTTTCTATTTTTCAAAGCTTAGGTTTATAAAACATTTTTGTCAAATTATATGTATCCAAATATTGCTAGAAGCACTTTATATTTTAAAATTGGTTAGATTGGCAATACCACTTCTATCAGATGTCCTCCTGCTCCTAAACATACTTTGAGTTGGAAGAAGAAGAAATGATTTCTTTACTGGCTTTGAAGTAGGCTGAAATGCAGACAGTCTTTCACATCTTCAAATGGTTTTAAAGCTTGTAATCAGTGTTTGTTGTGTTTGTTTTTAAATAGAGAATTAAAGACTATATTTCAATAGCCTAAAGTGTGTGTGTGTGTGTGTGTGTGTGTGTGTGTTTGTATGTGTATGTATGTGTGTGTGTTAATTAAATGCTCATCTTGTGGCCCTTTTTTAAAAAAAAAAATCTTTATTCATGTTAATAGAACTATCTCCAAATCCTCTGTTTATAAGGAATCGATTTGATTTTCAGAAAGTGAGGTTTGATTTGTGACTGAGGAATAGTAGAATTTACCGTTTCCTTTTTTTATATACTTCTGCTTTAATACACTAAAGCAGAATTTCTATGTATAATATTATACATACACACATAAGTATAATATATAGAGTTTAAGCTAATTTTTATCTAATAAATATATAACCAATATGCTTTTAAAACTAATGATGCCATTTGTAAATGCTTAATTTAAATAGATCTGGAAAACAGAACAAATAAGCCATGACCTAGAAGGTTTACTTGGCCACTGCCAGAGCAGATGGCTTAAATCAACAGCCAGGGGTAAAGAACTCCACCAGGAAGGGGCACCCAGTGTTGTCACTCCTCAGGAAGGACCTACCTTGAAAGGTTCGCTTCATTACCTAGAGCTATAAGAATTTTCCCAGCCTTAGAGAATAAGTATCCTATTCCATTTTAGACACAGTTTCTATATATCTGCCTTTTTAAGTTAAAAATTCTTTTAAAAGTTGGATAGCTTTGCAGACCATTTATGTTGACAGTGTGGCCACCCTGCCCTGGCTTTCACATACCTTCACTGCCAAATGGAGGTGCTCCTGATGTTCGGGTGCTGGTGCTCAGTCCCTGATGTTGGGGGTGCTGGTGCTCAGTCCCTGTTGTTGGGGTGCTGATGCTCAGTCCCTGATGTTGGAGTGCTGATGCTCAGTCCTTGAGGCCACTTCCTGAGGTGATACTTTATGCAGCAGAAGGAACATTCTGCTACCTAGGCTGCGAGCTGCAGCTCCTAAGAGGAAAGGAGGCATATGAGCTGCCTCTACAGTAGACATTGAGTGAGACCTAAATTTTCATACAGAATAGCTAAGCTAACTTACCTCCAATGTAAAATTCCCTTTGTAAACTAAAGTGCCCATGAACAACTAGTTTATGTTTATAAAACATAGAGATCTTGACTTTGCAACATGTCATTCTGAATCTAGAAAGCTTGTCTGATGTACATATAAATATGATAATCTAACGTAGAGTATCTATAACTTGACTCGTATGAAGCCAATAATTTGAAATTGATTTGAAGAAGTAAAATAACAGTAGGTTACACAGAAACTTAACTCCAGCATTAATCAGTAAACTGATGAAATGCTTTTAGTGAGGCATCATTCTGTACTCTGTATGACTTCGGAAATAGTTCTCTACAAAATCACAACATGATTTGCTTTGGGAATACCACTCATTGTATAAAGAATTGTGAGTTCTTCACCTTGGGAATTAGTTGAAACGATAGAAGAAACAATGATTAAAGTCATGTTAATTGGAGGAAAGGAGAAAGTACCAATAATGCTTTGCACTGTGTAGCTGCTAGAGCAGAGAAGGAGGGGCGGAATGTGAACATCAGTTGCCTGCCCCTCATGTGAGTACAGTGGAGACCCTTGTAAACTATCCCTACCCAACCAATTGTAACAATACAGACATACCTCATTTTCTTGCCCTTACTTTATTGTACTTTATAGATGTGTTTTTATATATTGAAGGACTCCATAGATGTGTTTTGTACATATTGAAGGCAAGACCCTCCACCAGCAAAATTACAACTGACTTTTGGTGATACTCGCTCTCCTGTGGTGGTCTAGAACCAAACCCAAAATAGCTCCAAGGAATGCCTGTACTGTTTTTGGCATATTGGTTTTTATTGATTAGTTCTTTCTTTCCTCTATTCCCATTTATTTTATTTTATTTTTTTTAATTTTGTTTTATTGCTTAAAGTATTACAAAGAGTATTACATATGTCTCCTTTTTTTCCCCCTTGACCTTCCCCTGGCCTCCCCTACCCCCCAGTGCCTTGTGTCCATTGGTTATGCTTATATGCATGCATACAAGTCCTTCCGTTGATCTCTTACCGCCCCCCCCCTCCACCCTCCCCGGCCTTCCCGCTGTAGTTTGACAGTCTGTTCGATGCTGCTCTGCTTCTGTATCTATTTTTGTTCATCAGTTTATAATGGTCTTTATTATCCATAAATGAGTGAGATCATGTGGTATTTTTCTTTCATTGACTGGCTTATTTCACTTAGCATAATGCTCTCCAGTTCCATCCATGCTGTTGCAAATGGTAAGAATTTCTTCTTTTTTATAGCAGCATAGTATTCCATTGTGTAGATGTACCACAGTTTTCTAATCCATTCATCTACTGATGGGCACTTAGGCTGTTTCCAAATTTTAGCTATGGTAAATTGTACTGCTGTGAACATAGGGATGCATATATCCTTTCTGATTGGTGTTTCTGGTTTCTTGGGATATAGTCCTAGAAGTGGGATCACTGGGTCAAATGGGAGTTCCATTTTTAACTTTTTGAGGAAACTCCATACTGTCTTCTATAGTGGCTGCACCAGTCTGCATTTGCCAATGTTATCACCGATAAGGGTTTAATCTCCAACATTTATAGGGAACTCATACAACTTAACAAAAGGAAGATAAACGATCCAATCAAAAAATGGGCAAAGGACCTAAATAGACACTTTTCAAAAGAGGACATTCAGAAAGCCAAGAGACATATGAAAACATGCTCAAAGTCACTAATCATCCGAGAAATGCAAATCAAAACAACAATGAGGTACCATCTCACACCTGTCAGAATGGCTATCATCAACAAATCAACAAACGACAAGTGCTGGAGAGGATGCAGAGAAAAGGGAACACTCTTGCACTATTCCCATTTATTTTCAATTCTGTGCAGAAGATCAAAGAAAGTATCATATCTAGAAGATTTAAGTAATTTTCCTGAGGTTAAGCTATTGATTAGATTAAGTGATGGAATCAAAGCTAAAATTCAGGCCTTCCAACTCCCAGCTTCAAAAACTTTCTCCTAAAACATAAATCTTTGCAGCTGTCCTCACCCCTATATGCCTGATATTCTGGATGCACATGCTGAAGAACATTGCAAGCGATTAGTAATTCTGAAAATCACTTCAGGGTTTGTAATTTACAGTCGTTATTTCAGAGGACTTATGTGATCTAGATTGTCCTAAGTTATTTTGATGCTTGACATCTTATATAGTTCTTTTACTCATAGTAGTTGATATTAGGTGAGCTTAGATTGTGTGATGATTGATTTGATCCTACAGACAAATGACAAGGGTTTATATACTACCTCTGCCACCTACTAGTTAAGAAGCCTTAAGGAAGATTCTTAACTTCTTTATGTCTCAGTTTCCCCATCTATAAAGTGGGTATAATAATAGAATATTCCTCATGATAGAGTTTCAGGAGTACTATGAACTTGATGTTTGGTAGAAGTAGCATTAGTGGCTGTAGTATATTTTCTAAAAGGCATCAGATAAATATACAGATGAAAGTAGAAGCAGTTCTTCCCACCACCCAACCACATAGACACACACACACACACACTCACAGGCCTCACTTTGTAGTCATAGAAAAAACTAAAACCTGAATAATAATGTGATTTTTCTTACAGACTAATCGTTTATACCAGTAAAGTTTAAATACCATTTAAAGATTATTGTTCCTGAGAATAAATATTCATTTTTACTTTGGGGATTAATAATGGTTGAAGAACATTAATGATTTTTGTATCACCATTATCACCTTAAAAAATGAGGTCTCAGTAACTAAATGCATATAGTTACCAATAGATTTTTGCATAGCTAGATTTTGTACACTAGCTCTTATGCAGCAGAAATCTAAAGGACAAATGGCATGGCCTCAAATTTATGAAGCTTCATCAAAATTCCATTTTCATCTGTTCATAACTTATATAAGTTAATTTAAAAGGTTTTCAGAGACCAATGACTAAATCAAAGTTGGTAATAATTTTTAAAAAAATAAAATTTTCCTCAGTTTTTAAAATTTCTTCATTTTACTATTTATGAAAGTAGTGTTAGTATGCTAGAAAACTAATAAAATATGGAGAAGTAAAGGCAAAAAACTTACATTAAGAAAAACATCAGGACTCAAAACAAGGTGTGGCCAAAGCTTTAAGTGAATTGTTCTATTAGAAAATTAATTGATATTTAATTGTTTGAAAAGTATTTTCTTTTTGCAGCCTAAAAATTCAAGTGCTTTTGCTAATTGTCTTTTAAAAATAATATTCTAGAGCCCTGGCCGGTGTGGCTCAGTTGGTTGGACATTGGCCCATGCACTGAAAGTTTGCCTGTTCAATTCCCAATCAGGGCACATGCCTGGGTTGAGGACTCAGTCCTCAGTAGGGGGAGTGCAGAAGGCAGCCAATCTATGTTTCACTTTCACATCAATGTTTCTCTCTCTCACTCCCTCTCCTTTCTTTTCT